TAGATACATATTTGTTTTACAACGAATATGCGTAGCACATGATGGGTCATAAAGTCGTGTATTATAACTATGAGCATCACAAACTGAATCAAGAAAGAGATTAGAGACACTGGAGTATTTTGATAAAATATTTTATGGAATTGTAACATTTTATAATGATTTCTTCGATCTATTAATTTATTCCATCCAGCTTCTGTATATCGTTTGTCTAAGTTTGCAAGTTTAGTAGCACCTGAAACAATCCTAGCAGCTTCCAAATTGACATTCTCTAGTTTAGAAATACATTCTTTCGGAGAGCTATCCCAGACAATATCAGCATATGCTAATATATAAACGATATATATATATTTGGTAATGTTTGCCTGTAGAGATTAAGTCAAGTCCACGGAATCTGCATATTAATACTGATGGTCTTTTGATATGCTTTACTGTGCCAAATTGTGCCATGATTAATTGTGTTCGTCATTCTCCTCAGTGTAACGATACATCTAAAAATACCTTAGAGTGGTTTAATGACAGGTGGCAAATTTTTGCGGTTGTCCCTATTGATCTAGTTATTAAGAATTGAATTTTGCGCCAGATCCCATGGTTAACATTTCGTAGCGACTGGCTTTTTTCGTACTGGGTAGGCCTGATTACATGGAAGATAGATGAGCAAACTAGAACACTGACAGGTTAGTAAGGGCCCCGTTTTGTGGCAATTGTATCCCCCATAATCATCAAGAAGCAATCTGCCCGTATAGCTGAGCTTGACGTTTGATATTTGGACTTCAAAAAGAATCGCAGGGAAGCAAAATATACATTTTACATGTACCATGATGTGATGTGTTTCCTTCCACCTCCATATTTGCTGACCTAACAGAAATGTAATTACCGGTGCAATACTCATTTGTTAGCTTTGATTTGTTTTATTTTACCTTATATCCCTTCTCCATCAAGAGCCAGGGTCAAAGTCAGCGATCCACTTTGTCTTTGACCTTTGGACCCAAATGACCTTGACCATTAACCCAGTGACCTTGATCTTTGGTCAGTTGACTTATTCTTTAATTCCGACCAACTTTGCTTCTTAATATCATAACAAAATGTTCATCAGTGAAAAATACAAAACTTGACCTTGACCCTTTGGACCCAGTAACCTGGAACTAAGGTCACTTGTGTTAAGTTCTGAACAACATTGCTTCATAATGTCAAAACAAAATGTTCATCAGGGAAAAGGTACACAATTTGACCTTTACCCAAGTGACCTTGACCTTTGGTCAATTGACTCCTTGTTTAATTCTAAGCAACATTGCTTTAAAGTGTCATAGCGAAATGTTCGCCAGTGAAAATAAACAAAATTTAACCTTGACCTTTGACCCAATGACCTTGACATTTGGTCGGTTTAATCGTTGTTTAATTCTGATCAACTTTGCTTCATCATGTCATAACAAAATGTTCATCAGGGAAAAGGTGCACAATTTGACCTTTACCCAAGTGACCTTGACCTTTGGTCAATTGACTCCTTGTTTAATTCTGATCAACTTTGCTTCATAATGGCATAACAAAATGTTCATCAGGGAAAAGGTACACAATTTGACCTTTGCCCAAGTGACCTTGACCTTTGGTCAGTTGACTCCTTGTTTAATTCTGATCAACTTTGCTTCATAATGTCATAACAAAATGTTCGTCAGTGAAAAGATGCAAAATTTGACCTTGACCTTTAAACCTAATGACCTTGACCTTTGACCTTGACTTTTTATCTCAATATGTATTTTGGTGAACTGAACATCTTGACCAAGTTTCATGTACATCGGTCAATAAATTATAAAGTTATCAGGCAGGAACAAAATTTGTGGACGGACAGACAGACAGACAGTCGGACAGACAGACAGACAGACAGACAGAGTGATTACTATAGGGCACCCGTATCTCTGATAAACCGCCCTAATAAGATCATTAGTATATCAAGTGATATCTTACAGTTTTCTTTTATGGCAAGGTTTCATTCTGAGTGGGATGTTAGAGTTACTGACATCACTTGGTTTTCCTAGCTGTGGGTATCCAAGCACTCCATACAGATTAAAACAAGCTTTGTTAGTTTCGTTAAGAACAGTCCTGTTTATATTATTTCTCCAAGCATGTGCGGTTCTTGTAGAATTTGTACGATATGTGTTGCCGGCAGTAGCGGTTTTATAGGAGGCAGTTCTTTGGGCAAGGCGGAGTTGTTCCTTTGCACTAAAATCGTTACCTGCAAAGTTATAAATTTTTCTGAAAGTTTCTATTTGGTCTGTCACCACATCTTCGTAAAAAACGGTGTGTAATCTTCCAGGATAATTATTTTTCACTTTTTCTGATTCATGGTAGGGTAGCAGAGTACAGTAGAGGGTTGTGGCCATGGGTGATATTTTTGTTAAATGGCTAACCCCTGTATAATGATATTTAAAAAAAATATAAAAATAAAACTGTACTAAAATTGGTATAAGCATGATGAAGTGGGCTATGTGAGCTTCACATTTGTAAAAAAGAAAGAAGATTTCTTTGGTTCGAGAAAAAATTTTGGCCATAATACGAAAGGGTGCGTACACATGAAAAGCTAGCTTTACAGGAGGTAAAATTTTGACAACAGCACACGACGCAAAATTGCAAAAAATCAAGTTCTACAATTTTACTGCGACCCAGATAATTCTGCAACCAGGTAGGTAATCTTTAATTTCAGACAGAGCTTAGGAAAAAAATTACTACTTGCGGGGGTCAAATTTTGGGTTAAAAATAGCATTTTTTGGCATTTTTTGGTAATTTTTGATGTGGTAACCATGGTTTTCACACAAGTGACATACATAGAAAAAAGAGGTTTATACACTTCTCAGTGCTTTATATGTATTGTAAATGTAATGCAGTTTACAAATATATATACATGTATACATGTGTTGTGTAGGGTAAAACCGCTGTGTTTACATTTCCTCGACATGTGCCTTGTTTATCAGAGTCGGGCCATTTCTACTGTATTCTGCTACCATATACACATAGAACTTGATTTTTTCTGAAAAAATCCCTTTTTATGCTTGATTCAGCTTCACTTTCATTCATTAATACTTAAAACTACTCAAAAACGCCAAAAAACCCGTTACATAGATTGGTCTATATATAGGTCATTAGCCTGTTACCTGTGGATGTATAAAGAGAGGTAACTCGCGCTTTCACAGGCACTTGTGAAATTCTGCAATTCATCACATATGTGTCAATTATGTTATTGGTAAAGTTGATACCAAACATCAAATAGTTCACAGGCTATCTCCTGATGCATTCATACTAGATTTCAGTCTGTTTCACTCAGTTCAGCACCCGGTAGCCATGGTTACTAATACATAAAGTTGTATTTATTGAAAATGGGTAAAAATGGGTAAAATATCTGTTTTCATTTTAATTACACTATTTTAGATGTTTTTTTCCACTTGATTCAGCATACAGATGAAATAAGCAAAGTCAGTAATGTCAATAAATTTTATTTCCATAATTACAGCTGAAGAAAATCTTTTTTTTCTAGCGAAATATGTTAAATGAACAATTTCTGAGGGTCACTGTCAATTCTAGGCGAGGAAAGTAAATAACGGTTGCTATGGTGGCACTTGTCTGATTTCTCAGAATATCTTACATTTCTGTGCTGTTCATCGGTTACGGGAAGTGTGTCTGTTGCTAGTTTGTTGTTGAGATGGGTTTCCTAGTGTTCAATATTTTGATATCAGTGATCCTCGATGATGTCATAGATGCCCATTGATGACGTCATAGTTATGATGACATCACAGTTACTATGACGTCATCAAACAAGACAGTAACATCATAGTATCACTGTACTGTTTGTTTTCTACATGCACATGATCTCAAGGCATCATATTTCACCCAAAACGAAATTTTATTCATGAAAACTACAAACCTATTCAAGTTTTCATTTTTCAGATGACCTCCCTTTGTTGGTAGTTTGAGAGCAGAATTGGTAAATACACCTTTCAGGAGAATTCATATTACTCGGTCACTATTAAAGTGAGAAAGGATACGGATACATCATTGTGTTCATTGTCGCATTTCCCAGACATTTGAAAGGTTTTAATTAAATTTTGGGGGAAAAGAAGTGATGTATAAGGTAGCAGAGTACAGTAGAGGGTTGTGGCCATGGGTGATTTTTTTGTTAAATGGCTAACCCCTGTATAATGATATGTAAAAAAAATATAAAAATAAAACTGTACTAAAATTGGTATAAGCATGATGAAGTGGGCTATGTGAGCTTCACATTTGTAAAAAAGAAAGAAGATTTCTTTGGTTCGAGAATAAAATGTTGGCCATAATACGAAAGGGTTCGTACACATGAAAAGCTAGCTTTACAGGAGGTAAAATTTTAACAACAGCACACGACGCAAAATTGCAAAAAATCCAGTTCTACAATTTTACTGCGACCCAGATAATTCTGCAACCAGGTAGGTAATCTTTAATTTCAGACAGAGCTTAGGAAAAAAATTACTACTTGCGGGGGTCAAATTTTGGGTTGAAAATAGCATTTTTTGGCACTTTTTGGTAATTTTTGATGTGGTAACCATGGTTTTCACACAAGTGACATACATAGAAAAAAGAGGTTTATACACTTCTCAGTGCTTTATATGTATTGTAATGAAATGCAGTTTACAAATATATATACATGTATACATGTGTTGTGTAGGGTAAATCCGCTGTGTTTACATTTCCTCGACATGTGCCTTGTTTATCAGAGTCGGGCCATTTCTACTGTATTCTGCTACCTAGTCATCTGTCATTTTATGACACAATGACAGCGCCCCACCTGGGACAGGTGTCCATTTAAGTTTTGTCCTTGAGTTCATTATTGCCCTTGGATCTCTCAAGAGATGGATTATTTTTAAATTGGACAACGTGTCCAAAAGATTTGCTGCTAAATTAACACTTAATCTTGGAGCCTTGCTAACTACGGATCCGCGATTCGAACACTGACCTTGATACTTTTCTTGGCAATTTTTTCATGTTCCGTTGCATTCTGGAAAAGATATATTCCATTTTGGATCTTTGAGAGATTCGATGCCTCGCGATTTCAGTTGTTGCCAGGTTCGTATTTGATCATTGTAGTGGCTATAGTCACAGTTGTTTATCGCCCGAATGACATTGAGTACTTGGCAATCAGTCTTGTTAGACTTCCTGTGGAACACACAAAGATAAGAAAGTCGAATATTTAATGGTTTCTGCCATGAACATGTTTATCACATTTTTTAGATAACAGGGGCCATTATTTTCTCAGTGCCTCCGCTAAAAGTCAAACATGGAATCTCTACTTTTCAACTCTGGCGCTCTATTGAGAGAGCAAAAAAAAAAAAAAAAAAATTGCTTTGCCGAATCGAAGGCACAAATATTTAACCGGGATGACATTAAAATAACTTATAATTTCCTAACAACGATGATAACAACTGCCAGTGTATGCATATGATGCAATGTCAATTTAATCACTGTTAACGGGTATCGGTTCGATAAGAAATCAATGGAAGCACATACCTTTATATACAATTTTAGAGATCATTTAGTGTCAGATATAGGTAATGAAATAGCATAGTCATTGAACACGTACTTAACAATTTTGAAGGGTTTTAAAGCAAGTTTACAAACCTGCAGGTTTCGTTGTACATACTACACTCATGACCTGGCTTGAAATATCCAAACTCTGCCATTTTATGTAGAGGTTCATAGACGTAGAAACTATCATTTCGAAGTCCAAGTATCTCTCCAATGAACGTAGTTCCACCTCTTAGATAGCCTATCACAAGTATGTCAGATGTTTTCTTATTTGACGAAGACAACACACCGCGGTCACCGAAGTACCTGTAATGTAACGCATATGTAGACTTTTAATACGGTGAGAGGAGAATACGACAGGGTAAGTTAAGCACATTGTACCTGCAAAATACCTAGTGCATAGCGTTTCCACAAGGAGAAAATCCTCGAGGACACCCTCTGTAAAGTAATGCGTACATCTATATGATGTTTTGTAGTCCACCCTTTCATACAGTGATCACAAAATCCTACCTTTATTTAAAAAACTATATTTTACAGTTATTTCAAGTAATCCTCCAGATAAAATATTTCATAATGAAACACATGCTTTTTATGTACCGACAACAATTAAATGATGCAAAATGTACATACCTGTTAATTGCCTTCTCAACAATTGTGATTACGTCGACATTTGTCATGACTTTTGGACGATATAGCATATACAGGAACGCAAAACAAAGTGTTGATGCTGCGATAGACATAAAACAAGAAACAAATAGTTGTCTCCTTCGTAACATTTTTCTGTTTAATAATGTTTTGCACGATACTTAAATATAAGAAAACCGTACTGAAAAAAAAAGATTGATGATCACGACTGTGCTTGTTCGTTCACAAAGTCTTGCTAGTCGACACGGACGCTAAATCATAAATTTGTCAGTACACAAAAGGTGGACAGGTGAACCTAGACACACACCCTTACTTGGTGATAAGGACTGTAACTATACAATCCGTTAGACATGACGAAATCCTCATTTGCCTTGCGTGTTGCAATCAATAATAACTACACTGTTTTACACATTCGAATCACAATATACAATATTTGTTCACGATGTCTTCTTGCCTTTAAAGCTGTACAGCGCGAGACACCATACCGTTGACAAACACATTTATCAAGTTGCTTGCGAAGTTGTATTATGTATCGTGTGGATACCGCCGAGTGGTGTTGAGCTAGGCTTTATTTAGACCATATGCTTATCTAGACCTGCCAGCGCTTGGCTGATACAGATCAACTCACATGGATCACAAATGAACAAATGGACTAAGACCACAATTAATTTTACTTTATGTTTCATTGTAACGTTTAATTTCATAACAAATTCCCAATATCCCATAGCCAACTTTCCATCTAACCTGGTCAAGAGCAACATCTTGGGAGTAAAATATCAAAATTTCAACGTAGCATGTTGGCCCTTTTCTTGAAATAATCGTCTGCATGTGTCACCAATGTCAAAAATAAACTTCCTGGTCAGGGGTAGAGGTAAACACAGGGCTTTTCACACAGCACCCTGCACAAAAAATTAATGCAAAATATAAAAATTTGACACAGAAATTGTTAGATTGATATCTCCACAGTATTTTAACACCAAACTTTTACACAAACACCAAGTTCTAAGAGGCATAGTATAGGTTTTACTAATCTACCTATATTTCTCAGGGACTTCATTCGTGGGTACTGAACCCGGAAGCATTTAATTGTGACCTCAGTCTTAAATGGCGGAAAAAATCGGTCACCTTAAAAGCGTCTTCAACCGACAACAAGCGTCTGCAAGTGACAACAAGCGTCGCCAGACAAAATCTTTAAATACTGAATAAAGTAAGCGACATCAGAAGATATGTTGTCAATATGACTATAATACCCATCTATACCAAATTTGAATTTGATATTAGAAAAAATTGACCGAGCAATAATGAATTTAATTTTTACGATCGGCGGCGCGGCACATGTGTGTATTAACCTGTACAGTTAGGAAAACATCATTAAACATTCTTACTAAAGTAAGCGACATCAGAGGATATGTTATTAATAAGACTTTGATGTACCTATATACCATAATTCAGATAGATATTTGAAACAATGGCCGAGTTATGATTAATTTAATTTTTACGATCGGCGGCGTGGCCCACGTGTGTGAATATAACTCTACAGATCGTAAAGCGTCTACAGACTTTACTTCTAAAATTAACCTATAAAGTAGACATCAGAAGATATGTTCTTCATATGACTATAACACACTTATATACAAAGCTTCAGATCGATATTTGATCAAATGACCGAGTTATCGTGAGGTATTCAAGTTTTAGTAGTACACGTATGAAGCTCTCGGCGTGTCACATATGTGTGTACATGTACGTAGGACTTCGATCGTATAGCTGAACACGGTCAGCCCGGATCATATTGCTGTATAAACATTGTTTCACTGACTTGTTGTAATGGTATATCAATTACGTAAACAATTAGACGTCTATATTACTTTATATTTAAACATTTTCACCAAAATTAATACGTTTTGATTTAAACTTTAAAAGATCATATATGTAAAATTACTCTAAACACCTTTGTTTAGGTCCAAATATAGCTGTAACAAATTATCAGGTCCCTGTGGTATAGAACAAGTACAGGGACAAAACATTGGTCAGATTTTTTTTACCAACGATCAAGCGCAGGGTGTTTCACAAAAGAAAATGAAAAAAACCAATGGAAAATCAATGAATCACATGATCAAGCTTCAAACTTCTGAAGTTCCCGATCTAATTCAGGGTTGAGGTACTTTATACCATTTAACAGTCTCAGTACTCTGATGTACCACGGAATTGGATTAAGTTGTCACATAGTCATGTGTACATATGATACGATAGTACCGAGGGTTATCGATCACAGGTTATTGTATATATAAGTGCCGATTACATGTTATGTACAGAAGGAAGATCATTGGATAGTCGTTGTTAAAAACATTCACTGACCAATCAGAGCGTAGCTTACAATTGGTAGTGAGTTCATGTGCTAGTCAATTCGTGTCAGTCGCCAGTTTTCCCACAAAGAGTGAGGTTCTTGCGAACATGATGGGCTAGAGCGAGGTTAGGAGGACTCCCCGGGGTGAGTGTTATATTACACTTAGATATAAATGTATATGGTTTATGCTAAAAATTATGAATTAAGCTGTCAGTAAATATTTGTTCAGCTATTAGTCAAGTTAAGCAGTCGCTATCAGCGGCACTCGAATGTCTTAGTATAGTATAACCGAGGTGGTCGATAAGCTAAAATATTACGTGCTTTGCCTCGTTGACAGTGGAATATATATGTTAATATTGTTCAATTATATCCATGTCAAGCCTAATTAGGATTAGTTCAGGGCAGTAAAAGTTGGTATTTTGTTAATAAACAATTAAGAACTTAGCCAAGTTGAGAAATATTTGTTATAGTATTGACTAGCCACATTGTAAATAAAACTGTAAGATACACAATTTGTATTATGTAAAAAGACTTCTAACGATAAGTAAAAGAAAGGCAACGAATTTTGATAACGGATAGACCCTAAGATTGATCTTCACTATACACCCACACATTTTTTTTAAAGTATAAAAGACAGACTGCTCTTCTCATATCACTAAATAAAATGGCAGAGGAGTCTACTTTAAGATTTGAAAATGTCTTTCACATTTGTTTCCGAGACAGTGTATATCAATTCATCCTACGCTTATGCAGTGGTGGAATTTATGAGAATGGGACAAGAACTAAAGGTCTACATTGTCACATATATGGGTAATGGTGAGGTTGAAAATATCATTGCCACCAACAGTTTCAGACTATTAATATAATGTAAGTGAAACATTGCTTATGTATTATCATCTACGTATAACCTTGGTTGTTGTGAGAACACTAAACCCTGAACAAAACTAATGTGATATAAACTAGCCATTCCAACCACCAAACTCGCCACCATGCCTGCCATCACCGCTGCTAGCGCCACCGTGGTGCCTATTACTTCCATGTCATCACCTGCCGCCACCGTACCAATCCTCACCTCATCACCACAACTACCACCATATGCTGCTATGATGCCTCAACATCAACAGCAGATGGTCTATTGGGACGAGGCAGAATTTTTATATATTTTTTTTAAATAAACCCGTTTTTTATTGATATATATCATACATTTACAGTATTGTATTATAGTCTTCTATCAAGTTAATATCTTGTCTCAGTCAAGTCATATTTGTTCTAAGTGACAAATACCTTTACTATTTTTATTGTTAATGTTTCTTTAACAAACACCATATTGATTTTCAAATCAAGAACAAAGATTAATTCAACAACGATTCAAGATACATAGGTTTTTTTATTCAACTAAATCAATTATTTTTTAATATCAAATTATTTAACAATCAATATGTACAAATCATAGATAATTGAAAAGACACGTATTTCTATTTCATTCACAGTTTTTTTATACAATAAAATCATAAACGGGTTACAGATGACAACGTGTTGATATTTTTATTTATAGTGGCCAAGGGCAAGCGTATCACAATCATTAGGAAGTACGTAGCGCTTATCATCAAAAGGTGATAGCCCCGATTTGTTGATTGTATATACATGTAACTGATATTAATCTGATCTAATTGAATTCCTTTTAATGGTTGCTTTAGCGACACCTTTAGCCACTTGTTTCTCTTTTGACGTTGTTGTGATTACAGTACAACTCTCGACAACAGACCTTTCTTGCATACAAATTACATAAGAATACAACTTTGGACGAAGACCGACAAACTCTGAAATGGGATGTGATGACGTTTCGTCTTTAAAGTATCCCGGTATTTTTTTGTTTGATGAATCGTGACAAGGATTATTTGGTGGATAATCAGACAAATCATACACATGCCTGTCCTGGTGAAGATCGGAGTATAGATCGAGGGTTTCAATTTCGATACCGAAAGAATCGGTGTCTGTAAATAATAACTTCATTCCATCATGATATTTCGGCATGAGATATTTGTAATAAAATTCATACATGACTATTTTCGAGAGCTCTAGAATGGCTTGTCCAGCATATATCGGTTTGTTCAGTAATAATTTGGTTTTGGCATTCTCAATGCGCACCAAATTATCGCTAAAGATTTTAAATCGTTCAAAAGACGGTTTTGCACAATTTTTATTTTTTTTCTCAGTATGAGCTTACTTTATGTTTACTCGATTCCTAACATTCTCCATTGTTTTACCGAACACGGCATTGTTCATGAGCTTAAAAATGTTTTTCTCAAAGTCATTTTGCGATTCAACCCTTCGTTGCGAATTAAATAAGATATAGGGTCTTAGCCAAGGATGTTGTCTGGTAAGCTTCATGCCGAGATCCATACTGAACAAACAAAAAAAGAAACGCACAATTAAATTATGCAATCAATAGCCTATGATATTTTGGGAAATTTGTACAAAATGTTATATCAATATGAAGGGACAAGTCCACTCTTTACGATACTGTAGAAGAAAAGTCTGTGTGACGTCACTCGTGTCATAAGTAGTTACTCAAAGTGGGAAACACGCGAAAAACAAAATGACTCTTCAGTACCTGGTGTGGTCACCTTTTGCACGAATCCCTGCACGGATTCTCCTATGCATTGAATTCATGAGAACATTTATTCGCCTTAAGGGAATGTTGGTCCATTCTTGTGTTAATGCTGCGATCAACTGGGCGCGGTTAGTTGGGGGGTTTTGACGTTTCCTAATACGCCTGTCCAGCTCATCCCACAGATGCTCAATGGGAAACATGTCGGGGCTATATGGGGGCCATTCCAGAGGCTGAACGTTGTTTGCCGTGAGAAAATCACGATATCCTCTGGCAACATGCGGTCGAGCATTGTCTTGCTGGAAAATTAGGTTATGACGTCTGAGAAGTGGAAGGACATGTGGTTGGAGAATCTGGTCTCTGTATCGAACGGCATTGAGGTTTTAATCCAGGACCACTAAGGGGGATGCCTCCCCAAACCATTACAGAAGCCCCACCCCACCGAATCTATCGCGTTCAACCACGCATGCGTCGGCGAAACGCTCACTGCGTCTGCGATATACCCTTTTTCTTCCGTCTGAGCGATAGACTCGTCGGTGAACATCACACGCCTCCATCGACGCATCCCAAACCTATTCGGGTCATGTCTGAGCATCTAGTCAAGACGCCCTTGCCGCCTCCGTGGTGTCAAAAGTGACCCGACATAAAGTCGGCGCGCAATGATTCTCTCGGCACGCAAGCGGTTCCTGGCAGTTTGAGGACTAATGGGTCTGCCATGAGTACCTAAGGTATGCGACGCAGTCTCTACAGCAGTCTTGAATCTGTTGCGCAAGTGCGACAATCGAATCGCCCTGTCTTGTCGTGCTATCGTTACACGCGGACGACCGCTCCTTGGACGATCGGAATCTAACCCAGTAGCACGGAAACGTGTACAGAGACGGTTAATTGTACACGGGCCAACACCAAACTGCCGTGCGACAGCAGTTTGGCTATGACCATCCATCAACATCGCAATTGCTCTACCCCTCTGATTGCGTTAAGCGTGGCATCTCAGTCAATGGCGAAATCAAAATACCAACGTGGAAAATTAATGTGGCTGAACTTAGAGTATCCGTTGAGATTATTTGTTTGAAAAAACTCCCGCTTGGCTTGATCACGCCGCGTGATTTGGACTAAAGAAGCTCACAAAGTCACACAATGACATCGTCACGCTTGGCTGATTTTAGGATGGATTGTTGAGAAGGGAGATCGTTCTTAATGTAATACCTGACCAAATATTCCATTATTTCCTTACAGCTAAGGTGTACTGCAGGGGGGAACTTTGTGCGTTTCTTTTTTTGTTCAGCATAGATACAGCTGCAGATTCCTATAATGACAGATATATTTTGTTTTATTTTCTAGATTTGGAATTAGTTTTTCTGTTTTCACGCGTCCTTTTGATTTTAGATTGGAATGGCTACCATGTAATGTGTTCCAAAGGTCTCTACTGTATGTGGAGATTTCACACGAGATTGGCACGGATCTAATCCATAACAATTTAAGCGCATATAGTTCTAAAATTCTCAAAGACATCTGTTAGGAGAAGCACATCTGTTTTTAAATACAAGTCGTGATATTCTCCTAAATTTTGAATATGTAATTCGTTTCAAACACGTTGTGCATGAACATGGTCAGAATCTGATATGTGAGATTTGCTCAACTGACTATAAAATTGTTGTTGTGATGGGGGTTGTGTTTCACTGAATTTACTTTCCTCGTTTACATACTCGTATGGATAGACTCCTTTTCTAAGTAACAGTTCTATCTGAGGTTAAGTAAATTCTTTTGAAAAATGTTTGAACTTGGAGCTTCCTCCCTTTGCTAAATTACTAACCAGTGAATCTAACCCTTCTGACATGAATGGAATGAATCTATAAATCGTAAACTTCCTAAACTAAATGAAATATATTTTTCTATGTTGTTTGGTATACATTTGATTTCATGATCTTGGAATAGACCTAAACTTTCGCATAAGATATGGCTGTCAAATCTTTTCAAATTGTGAAAAACTACAGGGATGAAAGAAGGATGTTGATATTGTATGTTACAAGTTTGACATACTGCCGATCTATATTTCCCCGTTAAATGGCAGTGATCTCTTACTTTGATGGAATCTCTCGCGAAATACTTATTACAAATATGACATTTTTCGCAATTTTGAAAATGACGCTCATCTTCCTCCGTCATTTGTAGTGGTTCGACATGCTTTTGATAAGGTGCTGCTCTTCAATCAAATTTTCTAGGAATGTTTTACTAACATTTGACCCTGGATAAACAACAGGTGATTTAGTGTACCTCTCATCCACACACACAACCTGATAACCAAAACCACAAGGTTCAAATTTAGTATTTGGAGTCGTACTAGACGTTTGACGATTAGGCAGTCAAGAATGCATCTTTTGTGTAAAAGTTTAAAAATATGCATAGATTACAAACGGGACGCATCTGTTTATTAAAATCGCCAATTCTAAAAATTGCTCACCTTCTGATGGGAGTTTCACATGTTGTGGATCGTATTTAGAACAATATTCGACATGATTTTCAAGTAAATCCTTGCGCTTGAACCCTTGTAAGCAAAATTGGCAAAAATGTGTTGTACAATGATGAGATTTCGTTCTGCTATGAAACGTATCTAGATTTGTTATCAGACAATAATATGTTTTTTTACCTTGTTGTAACAGTAATAAATTAACGTGATGTCGTGATTCTCTTACCTTTGTAACATACAATGGGAAAATTGTCTCATCCTCATATCCAAATACATTCACAGAAATATTATTTTGTTTTTCAAACTTATTCACATGAGAAATACGAACAGGGTATTCGATACCATTGATATTGAGTTCGAGTTCATTTTTTGTATAATGATTCACAAGTTCTGGCATGTCTGCTGTTGGATGAAGAGTAGCAATTGCTGACCACGTGAAACATTTCTCGTCATTGTTGAGAATGTTCAACAGTTTATGTTGCCTGAATGTTCCTGGAGTGCGAATGTATGTAGATCCTGATAAAGGTGAATATTTCACAGTGCTCACTTCTAGTTTAATGATCCTTTTTAAAATCCAATTCGATCCTTCCCTAATGTATTCTTCAAAGCCTAAAAACATCTTTTGAAATGCTTCGTTCAAATTACTGTAAGTCTTACTTCTAAAGTGTGGATAGGACTGCTGCTTGTTTCCATCCCTGTCTTCTTTTTCCAATTCCACTTGAATACATAAATACCACTTAATCCCTAATAGCTCGTTACTTCTTTCTTCTAAATGTGTTCTCACTTCCTGTGAAGTGTTTGTTGCAAAGCGAAGCAAATCCATATCATCGTCACCATTCGGATATATGTTTCTAATATTAGCAACGCCATTTAAACTGCTTTCGTCTGAATAACGATGATAGTTGTGAATAAAAACATTACCTCCTTCCTGCTCTGCTACAGCTGGAGAACGCTGTTCTCGTGCAGGTTCTGGGGATTGCATCCAACTCGGTCCCGCGATTGGAGAATCTACACCAAGTTCCGGAGAAGCCGCACGCGCTTCAGGAAAAGCCGCACGCTGTTCAGGAGAAGCCGCACGCTGTTCAAGAGAAGTCACACGCCGTTCAGGAGAAGACGCACGCTGTTCAGGAGAAGCCGCATGCTGTTCCCCCGACGGAAATACCATCCACAAATAAACCAACAGATGTAACTTTATAATGTTTAAAGAACCATGGATTTTGACCATAATCTCCAGTAGCAGCTGTAGACTTTACAAATCCTACAGTGATGAAGTTTTGTCTCATTCCTTGACACATATTGTCATATGTGTAACTAGACGAACCCGTTGGTATAGTCATCTGTTTAATGAGAGATTGTGTGAAGGGGTACTGTGCATTAGTCGAATTTAGAGCTTGACTCTGTGCATATTTAACGGCAGGGTTCACTTTGACTTTAGCCACATGTAAATATATGCTCTCCAACTCAATTTTATAGCTAGCATTAGCTGCATCTGTCACAAGGCAGAACTCTGGTTTAGATCTGTACATTTTTTATATTAACATTTACTTGATTAAGTAAATATCTATCCATTTTGAATAAATCGTGATACAGAGGACCTTGCATGTCACAGGTTTTACTACCCTCAAACAGTTTCGCTCTAGTCAGTAGATTCAAATTAGATCATGTCCACACATGTACATCATCCATTTCTCCTTCAGTATCTTGGTACCATAATTGCGTGGCAAGTTGAGATGCTTTGGCGTCATAACCAAGGTTTAACAGTGATTGAATGTAAGCTTTATATGCGTAATGGTTCGTTGAAGACACCATAGGCTTTCCCTGTAACGCCACATCTACTTGTGAAAACATGGCAGGGAGAAACAAATTTACAGGTCCAATGTTCTCATCCACAGCAATGTTGCTTCCATCGCCCTTTTTTATTTTAGCTTTCACCCATATCATTGTATTTTTCAGATCGATGTATTCCATACCATTCTGGCCGGAAATGACGAACTCGATAGGGGCTTCGCCGACGACTTGCGAAATGGGAAGAACATCTTGATAATATGTATTCTCTACAGCTGTCTGTGTTGGAGGTAATTCAAAAATAGCGAGTTGTGAGGGTTGAGCTTCCGTGAAAAAATCACTGTTTACTGCAGCCATGATGGTAGAAATTTCTTATTTTTACCTTTCTGCTTCGTCTTTTTGTTTTTTGTTTTTTTTTGTTATAAGTTTCTTTTTTATCGCAGGTTTCTTTTAGATGAGTGGTTTCTTTTTTTGTGGCAGATTTCTTTTTATCACAATTTTCTTCTTGGACGTAGCTTGTGGTGTGACGTTTACAGTTCGACGTTTCTTGTTCGACTGATGATAGGGTGTATTCCGCTTTCTTTTTATCTCGGATTTGGCTTGTTCTATCACCTGTTGAGATTTACACCAAGGTTGTGTAATGCTGTAATTTTCTCACTTTTGACATTATTAATGGGAATCATGAACTCCTTAGTGTTGGTAGATATACCACCTCCATGCTGTTACACTTCTCGATTGATATAGATATATGGATTAATTTTGCCACTACTAACGTTTTTGTAATACTTCATTCATCTTTCCAGATTGGAAACGTACATGTTTGAAACATTCATGAGTAAAACGGATATGATTTGAAATGTAGTGTTATCGTCACCGATTGTTTTAGAAATAACGGAACTTCGCCTTTCTCTTTTGTTATATATATTTCAATGTCTCTAATCTCTGATTTATTTACAGGTACATATTGAAAGATCGTGAAAGATTGGGTCCAGTTAGCTTGCTTGTACGATTTCACCATGCGGAGGAGACTTTCCTTTTCACCGTCGACGATAGATCAATCACTTACGTCGCAATGTACGTATAAGATTTCCTTTGTTTTACCAATTTCAACTAAATAAATGTCTGCCAACGCTACCTGCCAGAGTCCAGGTAGATGCAGGGGAGATTGTAAATGAGTGCAAAAAGGATGTGGTTCATTATCTGGAAAATATTCCTTGTTCTTAGTACTGTTGATTGTGACGTAGTGTGTCATGATCAATGTCTACAGTATCAATAATGGTATCTGCATCGACAATTTAATTATATTTGGCAGGCCATCCCAACCATTTTACTAGCCACTCTTTTCTACCACTTATCTTGCGAGTAAAATAGTGAATCCATGTTCTTATCAGCTCTCTGCAATTCTGATTCATAAAAGTTACTCTTGATAACTTCGTTTAGAAAATCAATCAGATGATATTGGGGAATACCCTGTAATAGATAGCGTCTGTGTACCTTAAATATTTCTGATGACCACTGTTGTTGATAGGCACGCTTAAAGAGTTGTTTTGCGTGAGATATTCGAACGAGACTTGATCCTTTTTTTTTTGATGGGGACCTTAGCTGGTTTCTTTGATTGATGTTTCATCGGTTTCTTTCTCAAGTACAGATATGCAAAAATATCTGCCTGATTTTCTTTGTTGACAAGTTTAGGAGCTATACGATTTAAGGATCGATGCGGTGTAGCATTGTAACTATCAACCAGTTTCTGTAGAATGTCAGTATATTTGTACGTTCTGTGTTGTGTAAAATATCGAAATAGCATGGTCTTAAACGTCAGTATGCACCTTTCGAGTATATTTGCCTTCATATCGTTTTGAGTGGTAAAATAATGAAAGTGTTCAGTATCTTGAAAGGTACTTTTACCAATCCCGCAAGATCGATCCACATATTTGCCAACCCCATCCTTGCAGTATTTCCTAAAGATTGCATTATTAAATTCTCCACCTTTGTCTGTCCGAAGTTTGTGAGGCACTCCACTTCTTTGGACAATTTTCTTGAAAGCGTTTAAAACTTCTTTTGCGTTTTGTTTTTCAGAGGTTCAATCCATAGATGCCGACTGAAGTCGTCAATAACCATCAAGAGATATCGCACTCCCGAATTATGTTTGGATAGAGATGTCATGTCTGCCAAATCAGCATCGTACTGTTCACATGGCCCACCAACTTCAACACGTGCACGTTTAAAAGAACGTCTAACTGGTTTTTGTAAACTATAATCATCAAGACTAAATATATATCTTCTGATCTTATGTATGCCGAGGGTTTTAATACCTTGCGATTTCAATATTTGGTGAATCTTCACGGGACTGAGAAATGCACCACCATTCTCCAAATTATAATATACGTCATATATAAGTCGTCTCTCTTCCTCAGTCAACATATTTGAAAATAATGAGACAAAAACATTTATGTACAAACTTTTATTAACATTGTTACATATTACAACGTTTTGTGAAACCAATCTTCTACACGATTCATGAACATGACCATTATACCGACTTTCTCTTTCCATTTTTCTGTTTTAAGTTCATTACTTCTCCATTCGGTATTACATAACTGTGAAATGAAAGCATTTCTAGCACTTATCTGGATTTCAAAACGAACAGTCTCTTGAATAATGTTACGAATCACTTTAATGTCATCCACTTGAATAAATGCATCCATTATATCACACTGTCTTTCACTTAAGATTTCTCGAACATGATATGCATATATTAGTTTTAATAAGTTATCCATTTCAAGGAATTCTGAGGAATTCCCACAAGGAAAAGTATCATTCATTTTGCGTTGCATGTCGATATATCCTATTCAAATTGGGTGGGTGAGGTAAAACACAATGGCGATCAATACACTCCACAGAAAAGTGTTTATGTTCCCAATATTTCAGTGTATTTCCACACGTATAACAAGTAACGTAATCATTGACACCTTCGTGAAAAAAATCCGTCACTGATAAGGAGTCTGGCGAAGTTTACAGCCCCACTGAGAGAATGTCACCAACCGATCGATACAGCTCGTCATGTATAGGTGAACTGGGCGAGTGATACCAGTGTCCATCTATAAGTAGAATGGATAGATACGTTGCTAATATTCTTTTTCATAGTGTTACTTTCTTGTTTGTCTACAGTAAGTTGACCATCACATCCAAATGTCTTTCGGGTGCTCTTTCAATTATACGTTTACTATCCGTAAATCAAATGAATAGGCATGTCTGAACTTCACCGATTTTCTTCACGTATTTCTTATTTTTTTCGCTATAACTTTGTTTCACGTAGTTCTCGTCCCTCAAACGTTCGTCTTGCATGAGATATTGTAATGTATTCGAAGGTATACAAGATTGAATGGCAAACTCACGCCAAGTCTTTTCCACTTCCAAATGATTTGTAAAAGTCAATGCTTCATCAAAATGTAAGTTTATAACAACAGCATTGGAATACATCATACATTCATGTTCATGTTGAATAGCTCGACGATTCTCACAACCTAAACATACGAATAGTTCTGTTATTTTGGTTTTACAACGTATGCATAAGAGAGACACAGCAGATTTTTTAGTAGTCTCCGGTAGGCCTCCTCGGGTTTTTTAATCAAATAGTTTTGCAGTCTTTTATCTAGCAAGTCTGTGTTTAATTCAATTATTATACATGTACGTATTGGTATGATAACTTAACTCTACATATTTAAATGACGAACATCATATGTTGAAACAGACAGTATTTTGACCATCTCACATGCTCTGTTTTGACATCATCGAAATAGTTCCAATGTTTTAACGAAACACCACACATGAAACACGAAACGCGATCTTCGATACCGGTGTAGAAAAATCCGTTACTGGCGAGTTGATATGGAGATTGATGGTGAAGTTTAGACCACTTTTTGTAGGTATTCAGCCGATTACAACATTTGATCAATGATGGATAACGCGGTTGTATTACATTAGTGTTTACAGTATGTGGAGTGCTGTCTGTGACGTTGTCCATGGGTATTAACTTTCAACAATTGCACAGATTAATTGTAAACTCTCCGACACTGACAATACTCTTTTTAAAAGTTCTAGTGATATAGTTATTGTTTTTCCTTCTTCTTTTAAATAAACGCTTACCTTGTTTTTCAACTGTTTAAACGTGATTTCTTTATGAAGTCCTTAATAGCAATCCACTTGGTTAGAAGATACGTTAGCGATTGAAATATCAGCGTTCTTGACGGTGTCGATGAGAGCTTGAGCCATGTGGGACAGTGATTCGTCCCTTGATCATATCTCTGACTTATATAGTGTATGCTGGTGTGAGTAAGGTGTGAATAAGGTGTGAGTAGTGTGAGAGTAGTGTGTGAGTAAGGTGTGAGTAGTGTTGGAGTAAGGTGTGAGTAGTGTGTGAGTAAGTTGTGTGAGTAAGGTTTGTGAGTAATGTGTGAGTAATGTGTGTGAGTAATGTGTGAGAAAGGTGTGTGAGTAATGTGACAGTAAGGTGTGTGAGTAATGTGTGAGTAATGTGTGATTAATGTGTGCGTAAGGTGTGAGTAAGGTTTGTGAGTAATGTGTGAGTAAGGTTTGTGAGTAATGTGTGAGTAAGGTGTGTGAGTAATGTGTGAGTAATGTGTGAGTAAGGTGCATGAGTGAGTACCAAGACTCCCACAACTACCCTACTACTGGTTGTACTATATTACTAATATACTGTATATCTACAGTGATGTGTGAACAATCTAGGGTGGTTAATTAACACCATTAGGCCAGTAGGTTTAATCACAAAGGTATCTCAGTGAGAGTACGGATTTATGTATGATCTTTGGGTGTCATTTATTTGATTATTATGCAGTCTGTTATGGTTATCCGTGTATTCGGATATGTTGTAAGCTGGATAAGATTATCTACATGTAGTAAATATGTGATATTTACATATAGGCAGAATATCAAAGAAGCTCCTTAGTCAGACAGGGAAAGATTAGTGATACTTGTAATACTTGAATTATTTTTGTTATTTGCTATTTTATTAAATGTTATCAATTTATTCTGGTCTCCGAGTTGTGAAATTCTTCAAAGTAACTTGGCCGACTCTTTTGCGTGACATAAGTCAAAGTCCGTGGATGGTGTACATAGAAAAGTGACTGAACCAACAGACCAAAGAACAACCATTCGAAATAATCAATCACACCATCAAGATTTAAACCTCACAAGTTCCGTAGCTGATTCAGCATGCGATTAACGCAATACTCTGGAGGGTCGTTGGAACCGGTACCGGTGACTATGAACTGGCCGCGCACGCGCAAAATTTCAAGCTTAGTTGTCTTGCGAGAATTGTCAACATTTGATATCACTCTTTAAAAGATAAAAATTCCCAAAGCATGTGTACTAGAAAACCGCTTTTTTACTTCTACGAATGACATGTTAACAATACCGAACACCGCAAGAATCGCTAAAAATATGAAAATACCGACGGTTTTAAGCATTAAACTTTATTATTTCTTTTATATTATTTTTTATTTATAAGTCTACAAACTTATAAATATTTACATGTTTTTAAACACATAACAGAGATATAGTCTCTAATTCCGTGGTCACACGAACACAAATTATAATGGACCAAGATTCCGTAGCGTCTGGTAACTTCTACATAGAATGGAAGCGAAAAAAAGCATCCATTCTGATGAGGAAAACAACAAAAAATAAAACAAACGAAATGTTATACCAGTGTTTACACAGCCATTTAATCCGGGCTGGCCGTGTTCAGCTATGCGAAGACCTTATATGTGTGCACACATGTGTGATACGCTGTAAATCTTCATACTGTACGTGTACATCGTAAAATTTTACCTTGCGATAACTCGGTCAAATTTTCAAATATCAAACTGAAATTTTGTATAAAAGTGTGTTATAGTCATATAAATAACATATCCTCTGATGTCGCTTACTTTTTTTTTTATTAATTTTAGAGATATAGTTTGAAGACGCTTCTCATCTGTAGATTTGTTTACACACGTGTGCAACGACACCGATCGTAACAATTCAATTTGTCATTTCTATGCCAGTTTTTCAACTATTGACCTGAAGTTTGGTACATAGGTGTATCATAGCCTTATGAAAAACATATCGTCTGATGTTGGTTACTTTAACGGCTATTTTTAGAGGTAAAGTCTGAAGACGCTTCACGATCTGCTGATTTTTATTCACACACGTGTGCCACGCCGCCGATCGTAAACAATTCAATTCATCATAACTCGGTCAATTTGTCCAAATTCAAATTTGGTATAGAGGTGTATTTAAGTCATATTAACATTATATTTTCTGATATCGCTTACTTTATTCAGTATTTTTAAAGATTTTGTCTGGTGACGCTTGTTGTCACTTGATGACGCTTGAAGACGCTTTTAAGGAGGACCCGAAAAATGATCGTAAATAAACGTGACAAATTTTACTTCAACGGACGACGGACTGATGAGAAGACCAGACTACATATCGTTGACCTCCACACAAACGGTAGGACATACCAGCAAATAAGCGATCTGACGAGAATGACAAGGGGTGGCTGTAAACAAATTGTGCAGCAATTCTTAGCATTTGGATTTGTAAACAAAGCACAACAACGTCAGAGATCTCCTACAAATATTACCACAGATGTGATCCAGTTTATTGAATACAAGAAACTACAACAGCCTACTCTTTATGGCAGGGAATTACGATCTAAACTACTTGAAAAAAATGTATGCACACCTGATAAACAGAGTCATAACACAGACTCTTGGTGTGACTCGGAAAATAGTACAAAGTGTTCCAGCAGAGTCACAAAACCATTATCAAACAATTCAAACTTACATTGCAAGAGCTATGCAGTTTTCACTTGAACAAATCCATTTTTGACGAGACGTCCGTGGTATAAACTGCCGGTAACCCACGATACGGCCATGCATCAGGGGTGAAAAGGCAATCGGGTGTCAAAGGTACGCAAGTAATGCTACATATACGGTGAACTTATCATGTGGTCTTTTTAGTATTGATTATTTTGACACTCTTCCGGGACCTTCAAATGCGTTTGAAATGTTGACATTCTTTGATGACTTATTGCAAGAAACAAATGATATGGACAATCCAGTCCTTGCTCATGGCGACTGTGTTGTTATGGACAAATGTGGCTTTCATCATCACAGGGAAGGAGAGCAGCTCCTGTGCAACATGTTGGACCAGAGGAGCATAACTTTAATATTCCAGCCTCCTTACTGTCCTGAGTTTAACATGGCAGAGTACATGTTCCACTTGATGCGAAACTACTTGAGAGAAAACTCAGAATTTACATTCAACTTCACTGAACTCTCCATTGTTAATGCTTTACATTCTATCGAAAGTTCGTGTCTTCCAAATATCTTTCGAAAGTGTGGCTATGTATAATAATAACATAACTATATATTTATAATGATGAATCTCTTATGCTAATACAGCTAATGTGACTCGGACAACTGATCAAATTGACAATCAATGTATTGTGCATAGTTTTGTTTTTTAATATTGTGTTATTCATGTTTCATGCCATGTGTCCTATTAATTTTTCAAAATCAATTGGTTGTTGTGTCTTAAATCAAGATGATTGGTGCTTTACCCAAGATGTTCCAGTCTACGCAGCTGTATAAATCAAATCCAGCATGATGGCAAGTAATCATG